TTTTTTAAAAGAAGGTGATAGATGTAAAATTACTTTGGAAATAAAGGCACTGCCTACATTTGAGATTTTCAAACACCCTTGTCTGAAGACTTTTAAGGCAGCAAAGCCATTTTATTTATTACAAATGTATCATTCTTATGGCCGTATCTTCAGAAGTACTCAGACAAGCAGAAGTGGCATATCTACACTGAGAATCAGCAACAGACTAGTTTAAAATTTGATGTCACTGAGCACACATTTAAGTGTGTGGGAAATGGTGCAGTCATGATTCTCTACAAATTAAGAGAAAAATGTTTTAGTGAGTAAGAACATTTTTTGGCCATAAAAAATATGCTTGTGCATTTGTTTGTGAACCTGGAGAGGCCCTTCCTTGCCCTGCTGGTTGCCACAGTAACTTGCTTAATATTTATGGAGTGGTGAATGATAGGGCCTGTTCCCTCCCATTTGTTAAGTGTGTGCAGTTCTGTGCTGGCGGGCACTGCGGGAGACTCCCTTTGCGGTGTAGACTAAGGTTTGAGACACACTCCTTTCTCTTCTTGTGTTTGGTTTTGACCGCATGTTAAGAGCTGAATATTTCTTAAGTGTTACTCCGTTGTCCAGTTTGTCGGTTTGGCAGCAAGTTTTCATTCTAATAAAAGAAGTTACGCAGATGGAGATTCCAGATGTGTCTAAGCTGCTTTCATTAGGACAAGGATAGGTCCAGCCTTTTTTTCTAAATACAATCAAGAGTAGAGTGGCTTTGCCTTTGTAATTTTACAAAGGCTTGTATTACGTAACTGGAAAATCGTCTCCCTGAGCATAGAGAGAATTTTTTAGCACGGAATGCAGCTTGGAAAATGTTGATGTAAAACTTCAGTACAGGAGAGAAACCTTTTAAGTTGCTGAAATGTAGGGGAGAGGAAGAAGGAAATTGCTGTTTTACATGATTGAACAAAATGTACTATAATTATATCAACTTGAAACAGATTCCTCAGAAGAACTGATAACTCTGTGATCTGAATAAGTCATGCGTATTGGAACTAAATACTGCATGGACTTTCTCTGTGTGGAGAAGTTCGGTGTAGACACTGTGTGTGTGATTTGCACAGCAGAAGAGATAACCGTGCTTGCCTTAGCCTGTTTAATGAGACCTCCAGCTGCTCTGGCATAGTTAGCAATGGCTGGGAAGCTTTACCGAGGCATTCATATTTACCATGCCTGCCCATCCTTTTGCATTGCTCATCCAATGCAGTTTGTGGACTCTGCTCATGTAATGTTATTTTGATGTTGCCGCTCCTGTTTGCAATTAACACAGCGTGGCTCATTAGACAGCTTCTAAATGGAGCATTCCTCAGAGATTCCATGGACTGTCCTTGTTGCCTGTTCTAAAATGGGTGGGTAAAGTTTAATTACAGATATTTAGTCCAAAGATATTCTTGTTTCCCTTCTTCTCTCCACTGTCTCTGGGACGCACTATTTTCTGTCTGCCACAATCCACCGTAGACAGGAGATCATACCCAATAAGAGTGATACCAGTGTGTTTATTTAGTGCCAGTAAAATTCACTAGATAGCATCTGATACTCCAAAACACTATTCCTAAACTTTTTTCTTGCGTATGGTAATTATATATTTGCATATTTCCTTCACCTAACTATAAGTGTCTAAAAGGCAGCGCTATATCTTACTTCTCTGTAATCTTCCAAACAGTGATGTACCTAATACATAGCAGTGTTCAAGAACTCTATTAACTTAATGAATAATGGATTGGAAATGGCATCTGTTGGATTCTGAAAAGAGAGAGAAATTGCAACTCGTGAGTGAAGTGCCTAGACTTAACAACAGACAGGTTAGATAGCTAGCTGCTAATGAAATAACCGTACTCTGTACTCATGCTTGCATAAGCTAATGGAACCCCCCACCCTGGGTATTACCCAAGTGTGCAGACATCATAGATAAAGCCGAGTCTCTAACCCCAGCAGTAAGAGAGGGCTTAAGGTTGATTTTCTAGGCATTGGGATGTGCTTGCTTTGGCCCATCTGCTGACTCTTTCACAGACCGTCTAGAACCGGTCACACAACTGTAAGGTGGCCGTACAGAGGTAACTGAAGTACTGAGCTGAGGAGCAGAAAAAGGTGAAATGCTCTAAATTGGGCTTTGGCTTTATCTCCTATATACACTCCTCTAACCAGCTCAGGTCTCCACCCACCTTGAGCAGCCAAGTGTGTGCAGCAGAGTACAGGAGCATCTTCCTGAAGGAAACATGGGACAGGCTGCTATGGTCCTCGCTTCCCTGTTAGAAAGGACAGCTTTCCCTGACTGGCCTTTGTTCCTGTCATTTCCCCACCTGGAATGCTTCCTCTTGGTTTGCTCTTTTTGCCTCTCTGAATCCCATGAGGACCAGCTAAAATCCCTTCTCCTTCCTGAAACTCTTGCCGACCCTCCGCAGAGAGCAGTAATTGCTCCCCCCATGAACACCTGGACAACCCAGTGCTGATGCTCCTTGACATTTTGGATATTTCCCTTATATTGTTAATTTTTTTCCCTCGTATTTCTTTCTTGTGCTTCTTGAGAATGTAGGTAATGCCCTGAGTTTTTGTAAAACCTGTAGCATCTTATATCATATGGCACACATTAAGAAAATACTTGATAATTTGGGAGAAAAGCATCTAGAAAGGAATTTACTGAGATAAGTGAACTTAATGAAAGATTATTATAGATATTATGAGAAACATCTATGCTCGTGTAATTCTTTTATAATATATGAAACTGTTGTAAATAATTTTCTTAAAAGTTTTCTGAAAAGTTAGCAAAGAGTCTTGGATTTCTCAACGAGACTTAAGAAAATGTTTTCATAATCAGCAATGAATATAGGTTACAAATATGCAAAAGCTGAGATGAAGATTCTTATTTGAACTAGAACCAAAGTCATATTTTTGGAAATTGCTCTATTTATTTCAAAGTTATTTGTTCTATTAACCTATATGTAGTTCTCTCATTGTTTATTTTGTATTTAGTATTAATTCATTTGTATCCAAATTACTGTTATCTTCACACTGTAGTCCAGAAATACCCAAACAATGCTGCATCTACCTGACTGTCAAATCTTGTTCTTGATTCTAGACAGAACCTCTTACTAAGTCTTCCAGGCCAGTGGTTATATACACACCAAATGCACCTCTAGATCCAAAACAGTTTAAATGATCTAGTTGTACAGGTCCATGGTCTTCTGATAGGCTCCATACAATTTAAATTTAAGACTTATAGTTGTCCAGAAACTAGCCTTCTAAAACTGATCATGCTAATATAGGTATAAGTTAGACAAAAAATAATCATTATGAAAATGAATATTTATGACATTTTAAACTTAGATAATAGTAGGTACGGGGTTGTGGAATATTACTTGCTGGGTTGAAGAAGATCAAGAGGAGAACACTGCTTCAATCAAAGCAATATTTTCACTCTTCTCTGTGAGATGTGTCAGTTTTCAACACAATTCCCTGGGGTCTAGTACTATAAAGTACATTATTCTTAGTGGTAGAAGTTGTGTTTATATCATAAAGTCAACAATCTGAGAAGAGCGTTTTGAACTAGATAACATCAGAGGTGTTTCTGAAAAGTTCTTTAAAAAATCAGATAAAACTGTGAAGGGAAGTACAGAAAAGAGAAGGACAGGAATTGGGTCAAGACTGTAAAATATAAGGAATAGGCAGACTAAAGAAACCAAAGGATGGAGAACAACTAGGGTATGGGAGAAAAAAGAGTACTTGTCATAAATCTCTTTAGAAACAAACCCCAGGGCAAAAACAAAGTAAAACGTTAAGACCCTGGTACTGAAAAATTCCACATTTGGAAGGTTAGGGTTCTGAGAGGCATGATCATACCCACAAAGAAAAAAAAAGAATTTAGCTTTCAAAAATGGGACCTGTTTTTATTGAGCACCAACTGTGTGCAGGACACTATGCTTCTGTGAAGATCCAGGTAGCCTGAGCTCCCTGTTCCACCATGAAGCAGTGGTAGTGAATTGAACAGCCCCAACATACAACCCCAACTCTTGCTCCAAGTGCAAGCTCCTGCCTGCCAGAATGAATTCCAAATTCACAATCAGGTTCAGAGTTAGGCCGTTTTAGCTGCTCTGTGTTTTTAACCTTTGTATTAAATTACCATCAAGGAACACTAATTAAGATAAGAAGTAGAACTACTTATTTGTTTCATACACATCTTCAGATTTCTGAATTGTACAATAAAATAATCTGTGTCATCTGTGTATGCTTTTCACAAAAGAAAGAATTACAAATGCCTCAGGGCACATCTGCCTGGCTAAAAAACAGACCCAAAAAACCTCATTTTCATTAAAACGTGGAGAAATTAGGGCCAGGCGCAGTGACTCATGCCTGCAATCCTAGCATTCTGGGAGGCCGAGGCGGGAGGATTGCTCGAGATCAGGAGTTCGAAACCAGCCTGAGCAAGAGCGAGACCCTGTCTCTACTAAAAATAGAAAGAAATTAATTGGCCAACTAAAAATATGTAGAGAAAAAATTAGCCGGGCATGGTGGCGCATGCCTGTAGTGCCAGCTAGTTGGAAGGCTGAGGCAGTAGGATCACTTGAGCCCAGGAATTTGAGGTTGCTGTGAGCAAGGCTGATGCCATGGCACTCTAGCCCAGGCAACAAAGTGAGACTTTTTCTCAAAATAAATAAATAAATAAATAAGAGAAATCAGTTGGTCCGAAGGTTGTAGGTTGTTGTTAAGCTGCTTTAACATTGTCTCCCCCCCACAACCATGCTTGAATAGCTTTAAAAATATATATATAAATAAATAAAAATACAGAGAAATATTATAATTTTAAAGGCAATAAAAATAAGGTAAAAATTATATAAGGCAAATAAATCAAAATCTATAGCAAAAACCAGAATATTTTAGATTAATCTGAAATATCTGAGTTTCCAAGACTTTGAAAAATGAGAAAAGCCATTTGGCAAAATTCTTAACTTGTACTTTTTCTGTTTGATTTTTGTTCCTAGGTTCCAGATTCAGAGATATGTAACTGATCCAAACAGTTATAAAAGCTTAGGAGACAGCTTTCGAACGATTTACCGAACAGAAGGGTATGTATGGTTCTTCGTATACAGACTCTATGTTGATATAGGCATTTTATATATTTCTATTTAATATGCTTTTTTCATTTTGAATATTTTATTTTCCTAGTCTTGTTAGGGACAAACATTTAAAAGGGAACCTCCCTACTTTCTTATGTTTTTCGTAATAATATGATTGAAAACGGAATATGCATATAATGGAACCTACCACAAAAAGGATATTAATAATCAGTTTAATGATTAGAGGACAATTTCTAATTTATGCCATTAAGGCTATTTAAAGTTCTTATAACTGGGGCTATCTAAACAGTTCTTTATTTTGGTACTTAAAAATAATGTCCAAATGCATTCCTTATTTGCACTGTGGTTTATTAATATGTAAACAAAACAGATCTGTATCAGAAATTGATGTATCAGTTTTCTGATCTATTAGATGATCAGGTACATAGACTATTTTTCTTAATAAGCTAATACTATTTTAATGTGTAGATTCAGTTAAATACTGTATACAGCATAATTTTCCAAAGAATATTATATTTGCTTTTAGAAGTTGTTTTATGAGAAAATTGGTTGAAATTAATAATCATTCAAAAATGTAGCAGTATAATAGTTAGTATGTTTTTAGACTCTATTAACTACTAGAAATTCTCCTTACAACTCTATGAGGTAGGTTCTGTTAGGATCTATTCCAGTTGGACAGGTAAAGAAACCAAGACTCAGAGAAGTTGATAGTTTTCATCCATCTGGTAAGCAAGAGAGCTGGGACTCAAATACTGCTTGGCCTCTAAGGCCCATACCCTTAACTGCTGTAGTTCACTATTTCTCTTACTAGATTATACTATAAATCATATTCTGCTAATTGTTTATTTCAGATAAACATATATTATGGATATCTTTCCATGCCAGTATATTTGTTTTAAAAACAGCATAGTAATTTATCTAGATGCTGCAATTTTTTTTTTATTTTGGCATATTATGGGGGTACAGATTTTAAGGTTTCAATAAATGCCCATTTCCCCCTTCCCCCCACAAGTCTGAGTCTCCATCATGACCATCCCCCAGATGGTGCACATCTCACTCATTATGTATGTAATACCGCCCTCCCCCCTCCCACCTGCCCAATACCCTATTACTGTAGTACCTATGTGTCCACTTAGGTGCTACTCAGTTAATACCAGTTTGCTGGAGAATATATCTGGTGCTTGTTTTTCCATTCTTGGGATACTTCACTTAGTAGTGTGGGTTCCAGCTCTAACCAGGAAAATATAAGATGTGCTATATCACCGTTGTTTCTTAGAGCTGAATAGTACTCCATGGTATACATATACCACATTTTATTAATCCATTCTTGGATTGATGGGCATTTGGGTTTCCACAGCCTTGCAATTATGAATTGTGCTGCTATAAACATTCGAGTGCAGGTGTCTTTTTTGTAGAGTGTCATTGGATCATTTGGGTAGACGCCCAGCAATGGGATTGCTGGATCAAATGGTAGATTCACTTGTATCGCTTTAAGGTATCCCATATTGCTTTCCCAGAGGTTGAATAGTTTGCAGTCCACACAGCAGTGTAGGAGTGTTCCTCTTCTCCGCAACCACAGCCAGCATTTATTGTTTGGAGATTTTTTGATAAAGGCCATTCTCACTGGGGTTAAGTGATATCTCATTGTGGTTTTGATTTGCATTTCCCTGATGATTAGAGATGTGAGCATTTTTTCATGTGTGTTGGCTATTCTTCTGTCTTCTTTAGAAAGTTTCTGTTCAAGTCCTTTGCCACTTTTTAATGGGGTTATTTGATGTTTCTTCCTGGTTTTCGTGAGTTCTAAGTATATTCTAGTTATCAGTCCTTATCGGATGCATAGGATGCAAAAATTTTCTCCCATTCTGTAGGTTGTCTGTTTACTTTCATGACTATTTCTTTGGCTGTGCAGAGCTTTGTAGTTTGATCATGTCCCATTTATTATATTTTGTTGCGCTGTGATTGCCTTTGGGACTTCTTCATAAACTCTTTGCCCAGGCTGATGTCTAGGAGAGTGTTTCCAACTTTTTCCTCTAGAGTTCTAATAGTTTCATACCTTAGGTTTAAGTCTGTTATCCAGCGTGAGTTGGTTTTTGTGAGAGGAGAAAGGTGTGGGTCCTGTTTTAGTCTTCTACAGGTGGCTATCCAGTTTTCCTAGCACCATTTATTGAAAAGGGATTCTTTTCCCCAGCGTATGTTTTTGTCTGCTTTGTCAAAGATTAGATGGCTATATGAGGATAGTTTAATATCAGGATCTCACATCTGTTCCACTGTCAATATTCCTATTTTTGTGCCAATACCATATTGATTAATTACTACAGCTTTGTAGTATAGTTTGATATCTGGCATATTAATGCCTCCATTTTGTTTTGTTTGCCTAGAATTGCTCTTGATATTCGGGGTCTTCTTTGGTTCCATACGAAGCGTAAAATTATTTTTTCTATATCTGTGAAGAATGCTGATGGGATTTTAATAGGTATTGCATTGAATCTGTAGATCAGTTTGGGTAGTATAGACATTTTGATGATGTTGAGTCTGCCGATCCACGAGCATGGTATGGATTTCCATCTGTTTACATCCTCTGCTATTTCCTTCCTCAGTGTTTCATAGTTCTCCCGGTAGAGGTCTTTTACGTCCTTGGTTAAGTATATTCCTAGGTACTTTAATTTCTTTGTTGCCATTGTGAAGGGAATTGAATCTTTGATTTGGTTCTCAATTAGATTGTTGTTGGCGTATATGAATGCCTCTGATTTCTGTGTATTGATTTTGTATCCTGAGACTTTACTAAATTCATTGATCAGTTCCAGGAGTTTCTTGGTTGAATCTTTGGGGTTTTCTAGATACAATATCATATCATCAGCAAACAGTGAAAGTTTGATCTCTTCTGCCCCTATTTGAATACCTTTGATTCCATTTTGCTGTCTGATTGCTGTAGCCAAGACTTCCAGCACTATGTTGAACAGAAGTGGAGATAGTGGGCAGCCTTGTCTGGTTCCAGTTCTAAATGGGAATGATCACAGTGGAATAAAAGTAGAAATCAACCCTAACAGAAATTCACATTTCTACACAAAAACGTGGAAATTAAACAACCTCCTACTAAATGATTACTTCATAAATGAAGAAATCAAGATGGAATAAAAAATTCTATGAAGAAAACGACAATGGAGAGACAAGTTATCAACTCCTCTGGGACACAGCTAAAGCAGTTCTGAGAGGAAAGTTTATCTCCATAAATGCCTATAACCAAAAGACAAGAAGATCACAAATAGACAATCTAATGAAACGACTCAAAGAGCTGGAAAAGAAGAAACGACCACCCAAACCAGCAGAAGAAGTGAAATCAACAAGATCAAATCAGAACTAAATGAAATTGAAAACAGGGAAGCTATTCAGGAGATTAATAAAAAAAAGTTGGTTCTTTGAAAAATAAACAAAATTGAACACCCATTGGCTAAGCTAACGAAAAGCAGAAAAGAGAAATCTCTAATAAGCTCATCAGAGATAAAAAAGGAGATATCACAACTGATCCCAAAGAGATACAAGATACAAGTTATGAATACTACAAAAATCTTTATGCACACAAACTGGAAAATGTGGAGGAAATGGACAAATTTCTAGAAACACACAGCCTCCCTAGGCTCAACCAGGAAGAAATAGATTCCTTGAACAGACCAATCTCAACAGCTGAAATAGAAACAGCAATTAAAAATCTCCCTAAAAAGAAAAGTCCCGGTCCAGATGGCTTCACACCCGAATTTTACCACACTTACAAGAAGAACTAGTACCTATCTTGCAGAAACTATTCCACAACATCGAGAAGAACGAGAAATCCCCGCACACCTTTTATGAAGCAAATATTACTCTGATACAAAACCAGGAAAGGATGCAACAAAAAAGAAAACTACAGACCAATATCCCTAATGAATATATGACGAAAAATCTACAACAAATATTAGACTAACGAATCCAGACACTTATCAAAAAAATAATCCACCACGACCAAGTGGGCTTCATCCCAGGGATGCAGGGATGGTTCAACATACGTAAATCTATAAATGCAATTCACGACATAAACAGAAGCAAAAACAAAGGCCACATGATTCTTTCAATAGATGCAGAAAAAGCTTTTGACAAAATTCAACACCCTTTCATGATACGAACACTTAAGAAAAAAGGCATAGAAGGGACATACCTAAAAATGATACAAGCCATATATGACAGACCCATAGCCAACATCATACTGAATGGGGAAAAATAGATGCTGCAATTTTATTTAAATTAATTCCTTTTATGGACCTTTTGGTTGTTTCCAAATTTTCAGTATTATAAACAACAGTGCAATAAATATTTTATGCTATCTTTGCACATTTTTAGTATATATCTTTATATAAATTTATGTATTTTAATAAATTATATATTTATATATTAAATATATATACTTTTGATAACATTTATATATTTTAATATATTTCTATAAAATAAGTTTGCTAGCTATAGACTTACAGGATCAAATGATATGCACATTTTACATTATAGATGTTGACAAATTACCTTCCAAAAAAGTATGTACTATTTTACACCCTTAATATTTGAGAATTCCCATTCCTTCATACACTCTTAAATGCTGGACATTATAAGTCATTTTTTGGCATATCTGCCACTGACATGCATCTCTTGTCTACCATCTGATAGGTGAAAAATAACTGTCTTAGTTGTATTCTTTTGATTGTTTCTGAGATTAAGCATACTTTTATATCATTAGATATCATTTCTTTTATCAATTGCCTATTTTTGTTCTTTACCTATTTCTCTTAAACTAGATATTTTTATTGATTTATACCAGTTTATTATATATTTCAGATACTCATCCCTTGACTATTACATAGCTTGTAAACATTTTTCCCAATTTGTCATTTGTCTTACAATTATAGTGTCCTACACTTTTCAGAACTTATCTGTTGTGATATCTGATAATGTCACAGTTAAAAATA